CAGAAAGTTCTACCCTTGAATATAAGTTGAAATACACTGTAAAAGGTCATGTGGGAATTAGAGAAAGTAATACTATGAGGGGGTAACTAGCTCTGCATGCAAATAAATTTTGTTTTTGTCTGAACCTTAGGCACCTTCCTCATCACCAAAACACAATACCTGCTATCCCACAACTCAGAGAAGAGAGGTTTATTTGGCTCACAGTTGACAATGAGTTAGGCCCAAAGTTGGCTGGGTCCAAGGCAGAAATGGCCTTGGCAGTGGGCAGCTGCCTCCCATGACAGCCAGGAGACAAGAGAAAACCCAGAGACAAGTACAGCCCTTTTTAGGGCAACCCATTTGCCAGCAGGCTCCCCTCTCCTCTGGCACTCAGCTGAGAGCTCATCAACGCATGAATTCACTGCTGAGCAGAGCCCCGCCTTGATCCAACCACCTTCCAAACACAGGAGCCTTTGGGGAGATGTTTGCAATGTAAGCAAGTACCTGGTATACACTGATGCTGAAGAAAGATTTAAGTCTGGAACTGTTATTTCAAGTATATTATGCATTCTCTTATTCCAAAATACAAATTTACAGTGAGGCAAAGGTTTTTTATTTTTGCAGAACTGAGAATTCAACATAACACCTTCACAGTACACTGGGCTGCATCCCCAGGCCTTTTGCTATTTTGTGACAGGGTTTTGCTAAGCTGCCCAAGCTGAACTCCAACTTGCCATCTTCCTGCCTCAGGATCCCAGAGTGCTAAGCTAAGAGTCCTTTATGCAAGTGCTCACCCTTAAATGACATGTGGTGACATTTCTACAATATACACTCTGTCATTCTTGGGCAGTAAGTTTTAAAAGGAGGAAAATTTGTGAATATGGGGTGTGGCGGCACATGCCTATAATCTCAGCACTCTGGGAGGCTAAGGCAGATTCCAAGTTTGAGCCTATTCTATGTAACTTGGCAGCTCAGTGAGATTGTGTCTCAAAATACAAAAAAGCTTGGAATGTAGCTCAGTGGGAGGCCCTGGGTTCCATTCCCAATACTCCCCTCTCCCAAAAAACTGTGCTGTTATTTGATGCATCATCCAAACAATTTTGTGTGGATTCCATTTTTCTTTTAGAGCCTTCAACCTCTCTACCCTACTGACCTGTTAATGGTATCCAGGTACGGGCAGTGGCGGCTCCTCCGGTCCTCAGAATCCACACGGCCATTCTTTGCTGAGAAGAAAACCATCACAGGCTTTGAAAATAAAATAAGGAATATGTACTCAGAGTCAACTACTATTACAAAGAAACACAGAAGTGGGAAAATCTAACCAAGAAAAGCTCCTAAGCCAGGGACAGTGGCATGCACCTATGATCCTAGCTATTCAGTGGGCTGAGATAGGTGGAGCACAAGTTCAAAGTCAGCCTGGACAATTTAGCAAGACCATGACTCAAAATAGAATAAAAATGGGCCCTGGGGTTGCAGTACTGAGGATGTAGCTCAGGGGCAAAGTATCTACCTAGAGGCAGGAGACCTTAGGTTCAGATCCCTAGTACTTGAGAAAAAACATCTACTGAGGCATGAAATACACCATACATGACCAGATAAATTGAATGTCAATGTCCATGCAGTTTTTAACTTTCTGTAGAGTTTTTAGCTTTTTTGTTTCTTTCTGAGACAAAGTCTTGCTATGTGGTTCAGGCTATCCTTGAACTTACTATATAGCCCAGACAGGCCTTGAACTTGTGGTCATCCTCCTGGGTGCCAGGATTACAGGAATGCACGATCACATCCAGCAACACATAAATTTAGTTTTTGTTGTTGCTTTTGTTCTTTTTTATTTTGAGACAGGGCCTCACTGGCTAGCCCAGATTAGCAACAAACTTGCAGCAATCCTCCTGCCTCAGCCTCCCCAGTGCTGATTACAGACACCACTATGCCTGGATTTATTTTTTTATATTGAGACAAAGTTTCCCTAAATTGCCAAGGTTGGGTCTGAACTTTCAGTCTTGCCTCAGCCCATAACTACTGGAATGACAAGTGAGTACCACCACACTCAGCAACACGGAAGTACAGTTTAAAGAGTGCGTTCCTGGCCCTTCACCTGTACGGGCATCCCCCTGGCACATCTATCACTAGAAGAATTCTGACAGAGCTGAGATTTTTACCCTACATTCTAGCTCTGTTAAGTTTAGTTTCATGGGTGCTGATGAAAATCTGTGACTACTGGGTCTAAAACAAAGGGTAGTATTATCACAGCAATAGCAATTAAAAAAAAAAAAAAAAGAACGCTAAGCTTAAAGAAACTAAACCTTTTTTAACCGGTTGTGTGGCTGCCTCCCCTTTCCTGTTCACTGCCCCTAACATTCTTCTTGTGACAACACAGCAAGAAGCAGTCTCTGGCTTCAGTGTGCGCAAAAACAAAAACAAAAGAACAAAACAAAAAAACAGGAGAAGCTGATGGAGAACAGTCTTCTAAACTATTCAACCTAAAAAGTGGTACATAGCCAGTAATTTAGTCAGATGTCCAGGATTCAGGCTGTCAGCTGGCCCAGGCTAGGCATCCGATAAAGGCAAGCTGCTGCTGTTACCGTGCTTAAAATACTATAACTACATTATTAACACTTAGTACTGTCTTCATTAAAACGAAGTCACGTCTGGATTCCACTTCCCCGCCCCGCTCCTGTCCTTTCTAGGCAGGCAAGCAGCGGAAGGTTAGAAAGAAAAAAGGATGCGAAGGTGGAACCTGCGCCCGGCCCGGCCCCGCGCACCTCGCACCTCCCGCTCGGGCTCCGAGTCCTCGTCGGCCTCACGTTCCCGCTTCACCCGCACCGCCGGGACTGGGGGCGCTGGGGCATCCCGCACACTCGCCGGCTCGACCTCCCGCTTCACGCGCACCGGGCTGCCTCGAGAGCTTGGCACCTCGGGTTCCCGCTCCCGATCTCGCTCTCGCTTTACGCGACCCGAGCTGCTCCGCGACTCGGACTCGCGCTTCCCACGGGTGGAACTACGAGACTCCCGTTTAGACCGACTAGACATCGCTACTACCGGCCGAGGGATCGGCGCAGGCGCCGGACACGTTTGAGCGCGCGTATCACAACCAATCAGCAGCGGGACTAGTATCAAGCCCAAAGCTCTCTACGAGTCGGCAATAGGGACAATTCGCGCCGTCAGAAACTTACTGGTGGCTCCTGATCTTACCTGTCATTTTTTCTCAAAGAGATGAAAACATCTTGTGAGCTATGAAATTTTCTGGATAGTGAAAACTGTCATTAGATTCTAGATTTTTTTCTTCCCAGTAGCACAAAGAATTATATTAAAGGGCCATTATTACAAAAATCTCTTTATCAACATTTATAAGACTAAGGAGTGAACAAATAAATCAAAATGCTGTTACATATCGCCACAAGTTCGAGGCCAGCGTAAACTACATAGTGAGCCGTGTCTCACAAACAAAAAGAAAAAAAGAAAAAGTGTATACACATTTGAGTAAGTGATCAAGTGATTCGATCAGTAAAGAGGTAGGAAGACTAATCCATACCATGTTTCTTCAAGACATTGCATGCCTCCAAACCACCATCACGAGGTTGTCTCGCTCATCCTTTTCTCAGAGTGATGATTCTTCCCAAGAAAGGAAGCCATATCCCTATATCATTTCCTTCACACAGAAATGTGGCAACTTTAATTCTACATTTAGTGAATTCTTGGTATCAGAAAGCGCAAACATTCTGCCAAGGAGCATTTACTGTATTGTATTTTTTGATCCAGCCCTATTGTCAGGTATGTGGACAGCTCATTCTTCGGTCTCACACAGTAATAGTCCATTGTCTATCCAGACATAAGTATCTGGATTCATTCATTGTTTTGGAAGCTAGAGATAAACACAGGGCTTCTTGCATACTGAGCAAAATGCTCTGACTTATACTGACTTAATATCCCCAGCCTCCTTTGTCCCTGTTTTAAAAAGTACTTGTTTTTTTTAACCGAATGTGATGGCACATAACTGTAAAGCAGGCACTTTGTAGGCTGAGGTAGAAAGATCTTAAGTTCAAGCCCAGCCTGGATAACATGGAATTTAGCACGATTCTATCTCTAAATTTAAAAAGGGCTGACGACATAGTTTAGGGTGAAGGCCCTGGGTTTAATTCCCAATACCGGAAAATAACAATAATAACATTTTAAAAGTAAGGCTCGAAAATTATACACCTCAAAAGTTCTGCCTCCTCTAGCAGGGACAGATAGTTCCTGTGTTCGGTGGGTGACCAAGTGGGCCGCAGCTGGACAGCACGGATACCAATGAGGCTGCACAGGGAGCACCAATCAGGCACTGTGCTGCTTCACAACCTATTTGTAGCAGAAGCTTCCGGTGTGTTCACTTACAATTGAGGAAACTGAAGTTAATCAGGTTAATAAGTCAACCAAGGTCACACAGCTGGTGTAGGAGTACCATCTATTGCCAGAAAGAGGACTGATGTTAATGAATGTCATGAGCGGTTTATATTTTTTGAATTTTCTGTTGTATCAGCTGTAAGCAGAAATCTTTGTTCCTTATTGATAATGTTACCAAGAAAAAAAGCCGGGCACGGTGACACAAGCCTATAATCTCAGCACGCTGGGAGGATCACAAGTTTGAGCTCAGCCTGGACAAATAAATGACTGAGTGAGCCTGACTGAAAAAACTAAAAGGGCTGGGGGTGTAGCTTAGTGCCAAAACCCTGGTTCAATCCCCTGTGGTAAGAAAAAGAAAAAAGAAAAAAAAAAAGGAAAAAGGAAGACAAAGAAGAGAAGAAACAAAGGAAGAAAGAAGAAAGACAGGAGAGAAAGAGAGACAGAGACAGAGACAGACAGAGAGAGACAAAGATGGCAAATAGAAACAAGCAGCAGAACAGAGACAAAGAGCCAAAATAGCCCCGCCCCGGGGGTGGAGCCCTGACACGCCCCCATCGTCACCCCGCCCCATCCTTACCCCGCCCACAAGCTGCGCGCGCAGCGACGTCTCGGGAGACCGGAAGTTCTGGCTCAGGGGCGGAACCGCTCCGAGCCCCTCTCCGTAGGGCTATCGTTGGGGACGTTGAGGCAGCGGCAGCTTTGCGTCCAGAACTCCAGATGGAGGCGACCCGGAGCCCCCGGCCAGCGGTCTGTTGTAAGCCCGGCGGGCGGCTGGACATGAGCCACGGCTTCGTGCACCATATTCGACGGAACCAGATCGCTCGGTACCTCCCTGCCCCGCCGTCACCGACACAGCTGGCCTGGCCCGGCTGGGTCCCGCCATCGCTGACTCCTGCTCGGCTCCCCGCAGGGACGACTACGATAAGAAGGTGAAGCAGGCGGCCAAGGAGAAAACCAGGAAGCGGCACACGCCCGCGCCCACAAGACCCCGCAAGCCGGACCTACAGGTGTATCTGCCGCGCCGCCGAGGTGAGGGTCGCTCGACATGCCCCTGCCCTTTGGGGAGGACCGGGCTTGGCTCTCCTCCCCTCTGCCTGGAGCCTGCACCTCAGCGGACCCCACACAGGAGAACTGGGAAGGCCCCGCCTCGACTAAGCATTGCTTATTGCGTAGAGTACCTGGGAACTGGCATGGGACCCTTTGTCTACCAGTTTGTGCCACTGTAATCTGGGTTGGCAGTTCTGCTACATATCAGAAAGCTTGGCACCGGTGTAAGCGACCAGGACATAATTACGGAATGAACCTAGAAAAAAGAGCCATTTCCCCAGATTCCTTGTGAGCTAGAGGTCACGGTAAAAAATGTTGTGTGACACTATTAAGCGTTCTTTAAAGTGACTTAAGTGTTGCATATATTAATCCGTTGAGTCTGTAGGACCCCATAAGTTGAGAGCTCTTGTCATTTGTTTCACAGTTAGGCAGCAGGCACAGAGAGGTTAAGTCTCATGCCGGAAATCTCAGACCTAGTAAATGGCAGAACCTGGATTTAAACCCAGGGTCAGCTCTGTCCATCCTTCCATCGCCTTCCCGTCCTATTTGCTGAGCCGGTGTGCACTGTGTACCTTCTTTGTGAGAGCACTGTGCTGGCCCCAGAGTAGAGACGCAAAGGAAGGTGAAATGGGCCCAGTAGACAGCACAAGAAACACACACACTCACACACTCACTCTGTGGGCCTATCTGAAGATCAGGGATTTCTTTTGCCACATTATTCTCCACTTAATCTCTGGGCAAGGGCTTCTGCAGCATCGCACCCCCCCTCCCTCTCATTCTGGTTCATCCTTCCAGATAGCTCTGCAGCAGCTTCAGTCAACCCAGACTGTGAGGAGTCCGGTGAAAGCAGCAGTAGTGGTGGCTCCGAGCCAGAACCTTCGCGCTGTCAGCTCTTCTGCTTAGAATATGAGGCGGACAGTGGAGAGGTCACATCGGTTATCGTGTATCAGGTACGCCTTATGGAGACAGCTGCAGCCAAAAGGCCCTGGGCTGTGGTAGAAATCACTGCCAGAGCCTGAGCCACTGTCTGCATCCGGGCCACTGGGAAGCCATTGCTCCACACAGGAATATAGGACTGCTGGGTGATGCTGACATACATTGATTCTCTTTACGGGGAACAGAGAGGAGTTGCAGCTCCCTCACTGAGAATCACTGTTACAGGGGATGCCTGAGACATGACAGGCACTGGCCAGAAACCTTGAGCCAACTGGAGTTCTGTGAGAGTGTGGTCTAGGAGCAGGGCAGGTTGCCTTTCTGAAAAAGGCCAGGCCCTGAACTTGCTGACTCTTCCTCCACATAGGATGATGACCCAGCAAGGGTCAGTGAGGAGGTGTCGGCACACACGCCTCTGGATACACCCATGCGAGAGGCCCTCAAGTTGCGTATCCAGGAGGAGATGAAAAAGCGCCAGAGCCGACGCTAACTAGGTGGAAGGTGTGCTTTCCAGGTTGGAATTACTACTTGAGGAAGACTTCTGCCCAGGGAGATCACTTCCAGTTTGGAGGTGGCAGGGCCAGTCTGTTTGATCTTGAGACCCAACCCCTGCTACTTCCACAAGGGTGTTGCAGGATTATACCTTGCCCACCTTACATGTTGACACAGTTGCCTGCTCTAACATCCTGGAATCGTTTGAAAATTTTGTGTGGCTAACTTGTTGTGGAAGCGGAGAGCTAGGGGAGCCAGGGTTTATGAAGCCTTTTAGCAGCATGCTGCTTGCTGTCTACTGAGGCCATATGCCTGGTCATTCCGTGAGCTGTGTTATTTTATGGTTCTTTTTCATGTTTTTGTTCACTTCCTGTCATCATGTCCTAGATTGTTTTTTTCTCTTCCCCTTTCCCTCTTTTTGTTTCCAGTAGAATTGACCCCTTCTCCCCTTCCCTTCAACAAGACTGTGCAGCTCCACTGCTCAGGTATTCGGAGATGAGAGGGTCCTGGAGATTTGCCATTTCTAGCAAGTTTTCCAAATGGTTCTGATACCAGTGCAGCAGGAGACAGACCTAGGTTTCTGAGGCCTCCTTGGAGGAGGGTCTCCTCCGTCCATGGCTTTTCTTGGTTGCTTGCAATCTATATTGCCTCAGTAAGGTCTTGGGCTTAGTCTATAAGGATTTCTTGCAGTTAAACCTGCCTTGGCTAGGGCTACAAAATTCTAGCTTTTGATCTCATCACCAAGTATAAACTCTCTGTTCAGGCTAAAGGGAAACCAAAACAACCTTAAAACTGGCTCTCCAATTGTGTCTTAACAGTCTTAAACATATATTTGAAGTGAAATTCAACATTAATAATAATTTTATGTTTGGAGCCTTAATTTTAAGAAAATTCCTAAATAACGCATGCCCTCCAGCCAGACCTGGTGGTACACACCTATAATCTCAACACCCAAGAGGCTGAGCCAGAAAGATCACCGTGAGTTCAAGCCCAGTGTGGATTACATAGTGGGCTCAAGGCCAACCTGGACTATATAGTGAGACCCTATCTCAGGGGAAAAAAAAAAAACCCTAGGAGGTAAAGTAATTTCCCTTTTGTCTACTCCATGTTTTCTCCTTTGCTACTTCTCAGCAGTATGTAAATGCTTAAAGATATTTAAAGTATCCCAACATTAGTAATGCTGTTAACTACAGAATTTTAAAAGAAATAGTGCTAAGGTCCTCCAAGAAACCCAGGTCCTCTTGTCTGGGAGGCATCTCTACCAATGGGCAAAGCCCCTAGCCTCTAGGAAACATTTTTTTCTTTTTTTTAACACAGGGCTTTTAAGAAGGCTGTGGATATAGCACAGTGGTAGAGCACATAGCTAGCATATAGAAAAAAAGGGTTAAGCTAAGGTCTAAAGTCCACAGGACATCCTGTGCAGCAAAGTGTTTGTTCTCCAGCAAATCAGCTTACCCTCAGTAACTTACAGTGTTGAGTATACATGAGCTTGTGAGCTCTAAGACTTAGTGAAAGCAAAATCCCCTAACCCAGGGGTTCCTGTACATCAGGGTCTAAAGAACAGTCTGTTTCATCTCAGCAGCTTTTATTTTAAAGAACACCTGGGGGCACTGTTGGTTCGTGTCCTCACCCTTGGAAACCAGCCCCCTCAGAAATGGGGCAAGGCAGCTACTTCAGCCACACCGTTAAGACTTTAAGCACTGTGAACCACAGTGTGCAGTGCCCGAGGAATGCTGGGACAGTGAGTGAGGTGGCAGTGAGTTAGAAGGGCCTGGTTACAAAGGTGGCCAGGGACCAGAAAGCTCCAGAGCCACAGTGTTGGCCTATGGTAAGTGCCTTCAACTTGCTGCTGCCCAGGGCTCAGTTCTGTTTTCAGAAGAGAAAATCATTGCCTTCTACTTACACAACTGTGCAAGAAGTGCCTTTGGATTTACAGTGTTAACTGTTCTCCGTAACCTCTGGGCCAAACCCTAACCCTCTTCCTGCAGATTAGGGGCCCAGTTATTTTAGTCTTCCAGCTCTTCAACAGATTTTATGACTTGCAACATAGAATTTCCCTGGAACTTTGATTTCTTAGTCTGGAAATACTTTTGGGGTCTGTCTTCTCACAACTCAAATCATCTATTTCCTGGTTTTATTATTAAAACCTAGAAAAGACCTGAAAAGTACCTCATGGATACCTGCAGCTTTAGCCTCCATTCCTGTCTCTTGGAAAGGGCAAGGTATTATGTACCTGTTGTGTACTTTATGTATCCATCATGTAATCCTTACAAAGCCTACTCCAGTACTTATGGAAACTCTTTGCTCTTAACCTTTTTTCCTTGAGGTATTTTGCTTGTCAAATACAAATACAATATTTTTTGCCCAAGAGAGCACTGTAATTCTTACCTAAGTATGCAGTATACAGTCCAGCTAATTCACTAGACTTGCCACCAAACATCTTTGCCAGTTTCAAAAACATATTTTGCCATCAATGAGCACGTTTCTTAGAGGCTGTAGAGATGAGCAGTGGCAGCAGCCTTGGGTTAACTGGAACTTTCCAACAGGCTGATTTAGAATCAGACATTCATTTGCCTCTATGTTCTGGGCTATCTTTTAAAAAGTTCATCTCACTCAACAAGGAGTGCTGGTCCCTTAACTGAAAGTAAGCCTGGATCCTAAAGCTTTGTGTTTTGTGAGCCACAGTAAAGGAAGCTGGTGCACAGAGGCTTTGGGCCAGGCTTGCTGGAGCACCCCTGCGCTCGGGAGGCTGACGCAGGAGAATCACCACAAGTTAAGGCCAGGCTGGGCTACATAGGCGAGGCCAGCCTCTACTACATAGGAAGAACCTATCTCAAAAAAAAAGGAATAAGCACAGATTACTCTCCTACCTGTCAGCCCTTTGGAATAACCACCAGGAATGTTGACAGTTATTTGAAACATTGTACCTCCTTTAGATCCCTGCCCCCTGTCTGAGAAATCACATAGCCATAGGCACCCATCCCACCTCTTCCTAGAAGTTGGAGTGATACTAGAAATCAGAACTTCTTGAGTGAATGGCTCCTTTGCCTGGTCAGAGCTAACACAACAGGAATCCGGTGGTACTGGCTGCGTTGTGGTGCTAAACATTAAAAAGCCATACATTTTGCTTTCTTGTTTCATATTCTGCTGTGTGTGGATGAGTAAAATGAATGTGCAAATTACTTGAAAATCCAGAAGGGTATTTTTCAGATACAGTATTTTTTGGTAACCAATAAACTATTTTTACAGCATTTGTTTTTGCCAGGAGTTGTGCAATCATTTGTGTACATGGGTAAATGGAGATTAAATGGCTGTCCTGAGGTCATTCCCGGAATCAGTAGAGGAAATCTCATCTCTTGCTTTGCTTTACTACTTTAGAGCCTATCCTGGTTGAAGCCTAACAGCTAGGCTCACCTAGCAGTAGAATTGGAAGGGATTTTTAAAGACATTCTAGGCCTGCTTTTTACCTGATACATGCTTGTCCACATCTTTTATCAAGTAGTCATAAAGAGTCACTCCGTCCCAAGGACCTTTATCTTGAAGTAATTCTACTTCAGGAACTAAATGTTACTAAAGTAATATTGTCATATTAAGCCCAAAAGTGCCTCCAAAGTCTCACCTCTGTGTCATGCCAGAACAGCCTTCACCCTGATGACTAGACAGGAATGCATACTCAGCTCAGGACGACACAGTAAGTACTGAGCTGCACTTTCCAATGACGTGTCACAGCCCCATTGGATAAAGAAGAAAAGGGCCCCTGCTCAGGTGAGAACACAGCTGGATCGGAAAATAATGCCTCAGTGTGAATTAGAGGCATCCTTAAACCCCCAGTGTAGTGGTGGGCCTCTCCTGAAATCTCAACACTCCAGAGGCTGAGGCAGGAGAATCACAAGGTTGAGAACACCCTGGACAGCTAAAACTTGAATCAAAAAAAATAAAAGAGGCATCCCTTTGACTCTGAGTTTAGCAGAGGTTGGCTGGATTTTATGCCCTGGCCTATTCAGCCAGGTGTTCTTACACAGTGATCACTCTGCATCTCCACATTTCCTGGCCCTGCTTGAACTAGTCCTGATGTGAGTGGGAAAAGGTTTCCTGCTCCCTAACTTCTAGTGGGGACAGAAGGTTCCACTTCTACCCTCATTGGGGTCTAAGAGGTCTATCCCTTTTTGCAGCATTGGAATTTATTTTGCTCCATTTCTGTACAGTCCAGGGTCCTGTTTCTGCACATAACCTTTGCCTCACCAAGGTTGCTGTTTCCTGTTTTTGGCAGTCTGGAGCCACCCACCTTTGGGTTAATGATCTGCCCCAGAGTGGTCTCACAGAAGCTGTACCACATGTGGAGGCTGCCTTTTAGGCAGAGCCAGACACACGACTGATAAGTGAATGAAGTATATCTGCCCTTTCTATGATGAAAAGACTGACCAGCAACCCTCTGGGAGGCTGAGGCAGAAGGACTGCAAATTCAAGCCCCTCGGGCAATTTTATGGTTTGGAGAAACCCTGCCTCAAACAAAAGAAAAGCCCATCTAGCAATGTAGGTCAATGCAAAGGCCCTGGGTTCAAGTCCCATTGGGTGTGGGGTAGGGGCGGCACAATAATTCTTGTATAATACTGTTCCTTTTTCCCAGACTTCTCTGGGTCTCTCCTTTGCTTGCCACCACCTGACCCTGTTAATTTGTACCTATCCTTAACCTATACCACACCGACACCTGCAAGTGTTCAGAATGGATCACCTTTTGGTCTCCGCCGCCTTATTTGAAGTAAATGTTCATCAGTGGGGAAACGTCGGCCACGGTGACTTCTGGGCCGTACTCTATGTACTTGGACGTGTGAAAATAGTGCATGATGAGAGCAACCCTCCTACAGCGCATTGAGCCAGGGGAAGCAGAAGCCAAATTCGGCACCTTGGATTTCTTAAAACCAGCCAAAGCTTTGTGTGCACTCTGCGGACCTGCCTCACGGTTAGGGCGCAGGCAGCCTGGGGGCGCCGCGCTGAAGGAGCTCCCCTAGTCTCCCTGTAGCAGATTCCAGCTGCAAAAGGTGCGTGGCAGCAGGGCAGGCTTGCCGCAGCCGTGTCCACGGTGACCATCTCAGGTGGAGCCGGAGGCTGGCGGACGCCGCAGATCCCGCCTCGGACGCTCCTAATGCACAAACTGCAAAAGCAACCGTCTCTCGATCTCGGTGTCAGAGGTCCCCAGCCCCCGGTTCCCCGAAGTCCAGGCACCGCCCACGTCTCCCCTGTGACGCTGGCGCGGGGGCTCGGGAGTTGTAGTTCTTGGCGGGGTGCGGGCGCTGGGGCCGGGGCTGCGCGGACTCCACGTCCCGGCGGGCGGCGCGGCGCGGCCGGGGGCCTCCGGGGGCGGGGCCGCTCGGCCCTTTAAACCTTTCAGGGCTGCTGCGAGGGCCGCAGCCGAAGACGGCGCCACGAGGGGGCCGAGCAGGGCGCGGCGGCGGCTGCGGTGGGGCGCTCCCGGGAGGTGCGTATGGGTTCCTTCCTTTGCAGGATTCTCCAGCCATCGCCGGGGGAGGCTGGGGTCCCCAAGTCGGAGAGGTGGCGGGAGGGTTGCCGGCCTCGAGCTCCTGCCCAAGTCGGAATCACGACCCCACGCGAGTGGGGTCGGACCGAGCTTCCCGCGTGAGCCCGCCCCTTGGCCCGGCGCCGTGGTCAGGTGGTTGCCCACGCGCCACCGCTCTCCCTGCCCTGCCAGCTCTCCTAGGCTTTCCTCTGCGTGGTCCCCATTGATTGTCCTGGCTGCAGCCTCCCCCTGCCTGTGCAGAGGGCGGGTGACTCCCATTCCAGATGTTACGGCCCCGCCGGCACCACAGCCTGCCAATGGCATTTGGGTGGACCGTGTAGGGCCCCAAGGGATGCCAAAGGGTTGTCTACGTTCTGGTATGGGTTCAGCCGAAAGTTTGGACCTCACAGACGCAATGGGAGCTCTGGATGAGGTGTTGGCTGACCATCTTCCCTGCCCCCTCTTCCTTTCGCGGGTCAAACCCCGGACTTTGATCTTTCCCCCTAGGCCAGGGCAGCTGATGGTTGTGGCCGAATTATCTCCAGGTAGCTGGGCCTGCCCCCTCTTCCCCACCTACCTCTGGTCCTCCCCCCACATCACCACCACCCTGGCTCCCCTCCCTCATGACCGCCTGGATCCTCCTTCCTGTCAGCCTGTCAGCATTCTCCATCACTGGCATATGGACTGTGTGAGTACAGGGGGAAGACACAGGAGCCCGAGGGCACACACAAAGTCCCTTGTCCTGTCGTAGGCTCCGGAATGGCCCCTTGAGACAAGCTGGCACCATTTCTGCCCAGCACGATGGCACTGGTAGACCTATTTTGAACCAGGGCAACTTCCAGGGGTACTCTGGTGGGGGGGCCCTGCCACAGGTGCTCAGGAGAAGCATTGAGACACACCCCTCCCTGGGTTTTTAGCAAGGACAGAAATCCTTCTGAAAAGGATCAGAAATCCAGGCAGAGGGATCTGTGGGGGGTGGCATTGCTGGGGGGGACACGGGCAGGGTGACCATTGTGTTCCTGCAGGTATGCCATGGCCGTGATGAACCACCACGTGTGCCCTGTGGAGAACTGGTATGGAGCACCCTGCATTCAGCCTCCCTCTAAATCTGCCTCTGTCCCCTCTTGGTTGCTCAGCAGCCGTGACCCAGACAGAGACTCTGGACCGCACTGCTGTTCTCTGACATTAATCCCCAGGCATGGCTTCCTGCACATCTACCCGCTACCCACCATCCCTTCACCCATCTGGCTTCAGTTTTAGGCAGGGCCTGGGGAGTAGGCTCTTGTGTCCTCACTGGGGAGGTCAGGGAGGTCAGGGAGGTTGGGGAGCGGGACCTCTGAGGTCTGAAATCACAGGCCAAAGGCCTGGGGCAAGGCCTTCCCAGAGTGTGCTTGGTATCCTGCCTGCCAGGTCCTACAACGAGTCCTGCTCTCCTGACCCTGCTCAGCAAGGGGGCCCCAAGACCTGCTGCACCCTGGATGATGTCCCTCTCATCAGGTAGGTCCTGGAAACTGGGCAGGTCAGAGAGATCCAGGGCTTCAGACTTCTAGAGAACCAAAGGAGTACCTCAGGTCCAGGAATCATCATTACAGAGAAGAGCTACATAATAACCAATACTGCCCATTACTAAGCCCTGAGGACTTTGTATAGGTGAGAAAAGGAAGCTCAGGGTTCCTCCTCCAGATGGCATAGTTAGTAAGCGGAGACCAAGCTGTAGCACTGATTGGCAAGCCCAGGTTCTGGTTCAAGGCAAACCATAGGGACACCCATTATCTCTCTCACACAAGCTGGGGGGGAGGACAGACACTGGCCCTTCTCATCAGTGGAATGGGCACAGCCCTCTTTTGTCTTAACCTCTTTTAAAAAAATAAAAATAAAAAATAGGGGCTCACGGGTGCACATGCATCTCACTCTGTCCTGCCCTGTCCCCTCAGCAAGTGTGGCACATATCCCCCAGAGAGCTGCCTCTTCAGCCTCATTGGCAACATGGGTGCTTTCATGGGTGAGTCCTCCCCTCAGCCCTGCCTAACCAGCCCCCTCCACCCTCTTCCCAGAAATGCTCAGGAGCCCTTGTTCCACAAAACCCCCCTCACCCCCTCCCGCCACCTAGTGCTAAGAGGGGCGACTTCTTTCATGTCCCTTGAAAGCCTTTCAAAGGCTGGCTCCCACACAGCCGCCACTAACTGGAGCCTGAGGACCTAGTTTACCACCAGCTGTCTGGCCCCTTGTGTCTCTGAGAAAGGGCAGCAGCCAGAAGTCCTGGGAAGCTGGCGGGCAGGTGGGGCTGGTGGGAGGTGCTGGGCCAGCCCCAGCCATGCTCTCCTCCCCCAGTGGCCCTGATCTGCGTCCTGCGGTATGGGCAGCTCCTGGAGCAGAGCCGGCACTCCTGGGTTAACACCACAGCGCTCATCATGGGCTGCACCAACGCCGCCGGCCTTGTAGTGGTTGGCAACTTTCAGGTGCCCCCACCTTCCTTGTGTTCCCCCTAGTAGGGCTGAGCTGCCTGCATGAGCAGTACCCCAAGGCCAGAGCTTGGGGGAGGACTGGGAGGGAAAGGAAGGAGAAGGTAGAGGGAACAGGAGGGATACAGGGGTGCCGAGTGGGGCCGCCTCATGGATTAGCTCATCCGTCTGGGCCAGGTGGACCATGCCAAGTCGCTGCACTATGTTGGAGCTGGTGTGGCCTTCCCTGCGGGGCTGCTCTTTGTCTGCCTGCACTGTGTGCTTTCCTACCATGGGGCCACCACCCCCGTGGATCTGGCTGTGGCCTACCTGCGAAGTGTGCTGGCTGTCATCGCCTTTGTCACCCTGGTCCTCAGTATCCTTCCAAGACTGCCGGGAACATATCGTATAGGAGCTCAGACCTTGTAAGACCCCAGTGGGATGGGGCCTGTCTTCTAGCCAGCACTGGCCCTGTGGACTTTGCTCCCTGGGGAGGCCTGAGCCTAGTTAGATGTCTGGACCTGCAGAAAGGGGTTGCCCAGTTCCTGTGCATTCTACTGAACATTTCCTTAGCCCTGTTGCAGGCGGTGTCTTCTTCGTCCATGAGAGTTCAGAGCTACAACACGGGGCAGCTCTGTGCGAGTGGGTGTTTGTCATCGACATCCTCATTTTCTATGGCACCTTCAGCTACGAGTTCGGGGCAGTCTCCTCAGACACACTGGTAGCTGCACTGCAGCCAGCCCCTGGCCGGGCCTGCAAGTCCTCGGGGAGCAGCAGCACCTCCACCCACCTCAACTGTGCCCCCGAGAGTATAGCTATGATCTGAGGTCAGGAGGGTGGCTGGCCCGGCCTCCACAGCACCCCACTTCTCCTTTGCATTTATTTTGTACCAAAAACAATTTTCAGAAAGTGTTCTGTTGGGATCTGGGCTTCCTCAAGCTCCTGGAGAAATGGCTAGCCCATGTCCACCTGTGCCACAGAGGAGCAGGCCCAGCAGGCTGCCTCAGCTGCACGTCATGCTCCCCACACCACAGTATTGTTTTGTGTTAAAAGTTCACCTTCCTCATTTGCCCAGCCAGCCCTTCAGGTGCCTTCGACTCCAGTGCCAGAGCCAGGCCACTGGGGTTTCCTGCTGCAGGAATTGGGGGCTGGGAACAGCAAGAGGGATTGGAGTCTGGGAGTGGGAGGAGCACGCCTTAGCCTACAGGAAAGGCCCACTTCTGGGCCTGCTGCGCTACACTGGGATTCTTCACTCTGCCCCTCACTTCCTTTAGGCCAAATAACACTGCAGGACCACGTGGGTATTTTAGTACTTTTTTATATCTATTAAAAGAACTCTAATTTGCATGTTTGTAGTCAGTTCTCAAGAGACAGGGAAGGCCTGATCCAAGGTGGTTTTCCAAAGCAAGAATGTCCAGTGGTTTTCTTTCTTTCTTTTTTTTTTTTTTTTTGTATCAGGAATTGAACTCAGGACCTTGAGTTGCTAGGCAGGTATTTGTGCCACATAGCTATATCCCTGCCCCAGTGTTCTTTAAGAACAGGGTTGGCTTGGAATTTAATCCCAGTACTCAGGCAGGAAGATCACTATGCATTTGAGGCCAACCTGAACTACAGTGACTGTCTCAAAAAAAAAAAAAAAAAAAAAAAAAAAGGTTGCCAAGTGCTATCCAAATATTCAAAACAGCTTGAAACCATTTCTGCATTTGACCTAAAGTAGTCTAAAGAACTGACCTGGCCTGATAGTTTTGCACTTTTCCCCAACTCAAATCTGGGTTGAACTTTGATTCTTTAGTGGGACAGGAAGTGGTGGGCGGGTGGTACAGACAACAGCTTTAAAATGTTAAAAGTAGTTTTCTATGTAGAGCTAAAGGAACCACCCCCCCCCCCAGGAGTCCAAGGTTAACTAACAGTTCCAAGGTTAACTAGAAACTGGGGATGTGGGGGTAGTGGTACAAGTTTTATCAGCTTTCAACAGCCACAGAGTACTAGGTCCTGACATAGTTTGCCTCCCAATTGCAAACGCAGCTTCAAGCCCTGGTTGGTCCAGTGGCCTGAGTTCTTTGCCTGGGTGCCCTGGCATTGAGTTCAACAGGCCAGCAGGGAGCAGTGCAGCCTGGTGCCTTCTGCAGTTGACCTCCAATAGTGGCAGGGACCTGGTGGAGGACGCAGGGCCCCTGCTCTAGCCCGTGAGCATTGCAGCTGCAGGTGGGTAAAGAAACCTTTAATAAGGATTCAAAGTGCAAGAGAGATGTGAGGATGAGCACTCAGCTCTTGCCATCTCACATGTACATGGCCCCATGGAGGTTCTCCAGTCGGTGCTGCTGCTGCTGCTTTCGAGCCTAAAGGAGAGAACACTGGGCAGGGCCAGTTTTAAGACTCATGGGGGAGGGAGTGGGATGGCTGTCACAGGACTAGGTCACAGGGTCTTCATCCCCTAAGCATCCACAGTGCCAAGGTGCTTGCCTCACCGTAATCACTGGGAAGGTGAACAAAACCAAGGGTTCAGAGGCCTCCCAAGGTTACTGACCTGGCCTCTGAGCACAGTGCATTGGCCCCTACCTTATCGCGTCTGTGTTCCTCATAAGCGTCATCATCAGTAGGCAGTTCGTGGCGGCACAGGGGACAGGAATTGGTCTGAAAAGTAGGGCAGTGTTCTCCATGGGTCTAACCAAAGCTAATCCCCTTCCCTGCTCCCAATTCCCACCTCTACTCCCACCTTCCTTTGATCCCTGGAAGCCTGTAACCCAAGAGAAGCCTGAGAAGTAGGCTCCAGGGAGGGAGGAAGGCTGGAAGAAGGGGAGTAGTACCTTGCTAAGCCAGGGCAGGATGCAGTTGGAGTGGAACAGGTGATGGCAAGGCATCTCAATGACGGTCTCCTCCTCCTCAAATTCCAAAAGACACACTGGGCACTTGAGATCTTGAAGAGGGAGTGCCAGTCAGGAGAGCTTGAGCAGCCCTACTCACCCCTCCCCAGCTCCCACTCCTGAGCCATATTCTCACCCCAACCTGGCCTGGAAAAACTACTCTGATTTGGCAGAAAAGGTGAGTCTGGCAGTCTTGCCTCAAATAACAGAAAGGATTAGTGTTCTCACCAGCCTGAGAGCTGCTGATAACTGTCCTGGGGAGGTTTTCAACCACAGCTTTGGCAGCAGGGGGAGGCAGTTGGTGATCCCAATCTACTACCAATCCCAGGTCTTGAAAATCCATCATATTGGACAGTGATCTGGGAAAGAGGATGCCAGGTCAGAACCAAAGAAAACAGTACTTTCTCTTTGCCACATATATGCTTTAATGGATAAACACCCTGCCCAGCTACTACTAATCATCACTATCCTTAGTACTTGGGTAACAGCTCACTAGATAAAAGAGTACAGGGTGAAATGGTTCACAGCGCTTACCAAACAACCCAGCTCGCAGACTATTTTCATTTTACACATAATGCAACAGGTTAAGGAAGTGACTCAGGCTGAGCAGGAATGACCTGATAAGTCGATCTCCAATCGCCAGTGGACTTCCCTGCTTGCTGTACACACAAGCAGAGACCCTACCCAACCACCACGCCCCACCTTCAACGTGCTTCCCAGAGCTATTGCCCTCCTCCTCCACGCCCACCAGTTCAGTCCTTCCCACAGTCCCTTGCCTGGCCCTGCCGAGGAAGACTCGCGCTATCAACACCCTGCTAAACACTCCAGCTCATTCATCCACCCTCCCCACATCGGCTGCTACCCCAGATAATCCGCCTTCTACAGCCAGCCCGAGACCTCAGACCTAGACAGCAGTCTAGACCCCAGCCCCAGGTCCCCGGCACCCACCTTGCGAGCTGCAGCAGCATATTGAATCCTGTCTCGTGTTCATGGTCCGACAGCTCACAGTCGTGTTCATCGAAATAAGACGCCATGGCTGCCGGGCTGCCTGACACAGCCCTCGGATCCTAGATCGCAGCCTGCCAGCGCTGGCCAATAAGCTGGCACGTTAGTCGACAAGGCCCAATAAGAGTATTCGAGGGCGAGCATAATGAGTTGCCAGGGGCACGAAAGCGGAAGTACTGATTTCGCAGCCTCATATTGGTCACACAAGTCAAGTGATCAAAAACTGAAGGCCAATGGGGTAGGAGAAAGAGTAAATTCCCGGGAATTTCTGGCTAGGTCGCTCAGTTGTGCCCTGAGAAGCCAGTGCCTGGGCAAAGGACCTCAGTGTAACCCCAGCGCCCTCAGTCGCTGGAGACCTGTCAAACACTGGGTGGCGCTGGCCCTTGCTGAGCGTTCTAGGAGCCTGGAGTTGGGTTATTTCCGGCCACTCTGCGGAGATCTCGCCTAGCACTTTGTCCCCGTTGCACTCCTGCCCTGCAATTGGGTCTGGAGTTTACAAGAGACTCCACCTCGGGCTGGGGATTTAGCTCAGCGGCATAAGCGCCTGCCTTGTAAGCAGGCAGTCGTGAGTTCGATCCCTAGTACCGATAAAAACGAAAAAGACAAAAAAAATAAAAATAAAAAATAAAAAAAAAGAGACTCCACCTCTGCCCTTGGGGAGGGGAATTCCTGCCTGTTTCTTCTGTCAGGCATAAAATAAAGAGTGTAGCAAACATCCCTAACCCAGAGACAGTTTGAGGCTTCACCAGCTCTTGGGACTGTGTGACCTTTAGCCCATCGTTCAACCTCAGCGCCAGCTTCTAGAAAACTAGTTTTGTTTTGTTGCCACTGAGGATTGAGCCCAGGGCCTTCACAACGAATTAAATCCCCAGGCTTGTTTGTTTGTTTGTTTGTGGCTAACCCTAACCCAGGCTAGCCTTGTGGCAGTCTTCCGGCCTCTGCCTGCCAAGGGCTGAGATTACAGGCATGAATTTCATGCCCCTGCAGGGTCTGTAAAAACTTTAGAGGTGTTCGGTAATGTGAGGCAAAGTTGAAAATCACTGTGCCGTGATTTACTTTGATGGGTAATTTATACACGGTGTCAGTAATCCTCACAGCAGACGTGGGAATTAAGCATCCTTACCTCCTAGCCTCCCACCTGGAACCCAGAGTCTTAGCAGTGTGCTAGCAACTGCATCCTTATGAAGTATATAAAACTTGAGTCTCACAAGTGGCTTGCCCACTTAACTGCAGGACTAAGCCTTCCTCAGTCTTTCCCAGGACCAGCAGCTGATAATAAACCTAATGAAAGTAACAGGCTCACTGGGCAGGGTGGTGCACACCTGTGTAATCCCAGCACTCAAGAGGCTGAGGCACAAGGATTGCAGTGAGTTCGTGGCCAGCCTGGGCTACACAGTGAGTTCAATCCAGGCTACACTACATAGCGAGAAACAGTGGGGGGGCAGGGATTTAGCTCAGTGGCATGGCACCTGCCTGGCAAGCATGAAGTCCTGAGTTTGAGTCTGGGCATCAAAAAAAAAAAAAAAAGGAAAGACACCGGCTGTGCAGAGTAAAAGGCCACAGAACTCTCAGGGCTTGTTCTTGTTTCTGTCCTAGCTCACTCTCTTCCTAGCAAGGCCCTGCTGATTGCACACACTTGACCCTGAATTTCCCTTGCCACTCACTCACACATGCATTTGAGCTGCTGTTAAATAACCAAGGGGCTGGGGATTTAGCTTAGAGGCATAAGCACCTGCCTTGCAAGCAGGCAGTCATGAGTTCGATCCCCGGTACCGATAAAAAGGAAAAAAAAAGCCAAGACAGAGGCCACTCTACTCACAGGGGCCTGCTGCTTTCTTTGCTTCTTTTATGACCTTGTCTGTAGCCCTGAAGGCAGTGGCTGCCTGGCCTTCTAGCCCAGAACATTGAGAAGTCTGAGTTCTTTCCTACAGGACCAAACTTTTGTGATCCTGCATGGTAACAGCATAGATGTCTCCTTGTTTTCACTCCACTTGCTGCATTTGCAGTCTCGTGTGAGGCTTAAGGAGGAACTTGGCGACAGCACACGCTGAGAAGCTGGAGTGGGAGAAACCCACCTGAAAGTAAGAGCTTCATAGAAACATTTCCAGAGTTTTCCTCTTTGCCCCAGGGCATCAAAAATAATAAATTTCATTTTCAGGGAAGCAGGTTTGAGGGGCTGTTCTGGGGACTATTGTTTCTCCAGGAAGATTTGTCTGTGTTGGGTTGACTCAAGTAGGGAAGAGGACAGGAGGGGCCACCTAGTGGGGAGTAACCAACCTGAGACACACAGCCATGAGGTTTTAACCAAACAGCAGCTTTTACTGAGCTCGAGGGGGGGCTGGCCAAGTGTGGCCAGTCAGCAGGCTGCCCTTGAGGGCCAATCTGTGGCATGAAGGAGATGCACAGGCACACACTGTGGCTGCTCTTCAGTGCTCACTGGGGTGGCCCCTTCCAGAGCAAATGCCAGGGTTCTCTGGAGATCAGAACTGGCCATCGTGACAACCAGGCCTCTCCCCGCTGGGCCAAGCTGCATCAGTCCCCAGGCCTTGAGGGTATGTTTGGAGCCCCACTGTTCTCAGCTGTTCTGTGGGAGAAAGACGACCAGCAGCACAATCAGGAGGACAAGGAGACTGCCGGCCACTGCCAGCCCCAGGTAGATCTGGCAACGCTTGTTCTCCCAGCGCTTCTTCTGGGCCAGGTTCTTGGTTGTCTTGCTGAAGGCAGAGCTCTGTGGATGCCCCCAGACACAGGGTGGGAGTTAGCAGTCCCCACAGGGCATCAGGGCCAGCTGCTTCCAGCTGCATCCCAGCTGGTCCTCATCTCCTGCATCCTCCCCATCCTGCCCTCTCTGTTCACACAAGCTGTCCTGGGACACTCAAGTCTGACTCCTGGGCTGAGACACATAGCCCTTGACTTCCAGTTAGCCTTGCTGGTCTCCAACCCTTAGGAAGGTCCACAGATCTGTATCAACGCCTTTTTTTTTTTTTTTTTTTAAACTGGGCTACATCCTCAGCCCTTTTACTTATTTTGAGACAAAGTCTCATTAAATTGCCCAGATTGGGCTAAAACTTGCAATCCCCCAGCCTCAGCCTCCTGAAATGTTGAGATTACAGGTCTATGCCATCATGCCCAGGTAAAAAAAACAAGGGCTTCTTGCTCTGTGAGGCCTCTCTGTTACATACATAGCTACACTCAGGTGCTTCAGAAAACCCAGAGGCCCCAGACTGGTCCTCAAACAGTCGTCCTCCCTGTCAAGAGCCAGAAGATCCTGAGCATGGCCCAAGCGCTTCCTTGGGGGATTTCCCAAGCCTCTCCCCCCTCCTCCCTGCTTCCCGGCCTCACACCATGTCCAGGAGTTGATCTGAACGCTGCTCCAGCTCCGACAGCTTCCCGTCACGCTCCAGGACCTTGTCAAAGTTGTTGAGCATGATTTCCGTCACCTCGTTCGCCTGCTGCTGGCATCGCTCCAACTCCTTCCCTGCCTGGGCACCAAGCCCAAGGTCAGGGATGCAGGGGCCCCGACCTGGCCCTCACCAGACCTCCAGCTCCTGTCGCCACACTGTGCCCAGCTGTGGCGTACAGTGATAGCATCCTTCCAGTGAGGACACACTGCTGCGTGCAGGGTAAAGGACTGGTGTTCTGGGTGGCTGGGGTGCCCCTTGGGTTTCCCTGGCTGCTCCTCTGCCCATCAGGGTGGGGAGTAAGTCAGCTCTGGTTTCCGGTATCTCAGCATCCTCTGAGCTTCCCAGGACCCCACCCTCTCACAAAGCCTACACCGGCTCCCCAACTCCAGGATGGCCCCTACCTCGGGGTGCACCTGGAACCCAGCCAGGCAGAGCCACTCCACAGGGTTTGTGAGGCACTCTGGGATCAGTCCATACCACAGTCTCTTCAAGTTCAGATCCCCCTCCTTGGCCCCTGACCAGTCAGGCCAGTTCTGCCTCCTGGCCCAGCCAGCTGCCCACATCAGTGCCCATAGCCACTCCTGCTCTAGGAGCAGCTGGGTTCCAGCCTCCTGCTGGGCAGGTCTTCCCTTGGCCTCAACTCGAGAAGTGAGACCCACCCTTGTGCTTCTCAGGCCGGGCAGCAGCTTCAGCTAAGCAACACTTGATTCCTTTCAGGGCACTGGGAAAATGGCAGAGTCCAAGCTGGGGAAGGGGAAAGCATAGGGGAGTGGGAAAGTCTGGTTTGTGTGTGAGACAGACGCCAGGCGTGGGAGGTGTATGGTGGCACACAATGTAATCTCAGCACTCTGGGAGGCTGAAGCAGGAAGATTTCAAGTTTGAGACTTACGTGGGCAACCTAGTAACCTAGTGAGAACTTGTCTCAATCTCCACCATCCCCACCCTCACATTCCCAGTACTGGCTGGGGGTTGAACCCCAGGTCTTCACACTGAGCTACACTGCCAGCCCTTTTAAAATTTATTTTTTGATTTAAGACAGGGTCTCAGGGCCAAGGATATAGCTTAGCAGCACTAAATGCCTGCCTGGCAAGTGCAAGTTCCTGAGTTCGATTTCTGGCACCAAAAAACAAACAAACAAAAAAAACACTACATACGGGTCAAGATAAAAATAAACATAAAAAAGGGTTAGGGATGTAGCTCAGTACAAAGGCCTTGGGTTCAATCTCCAGTACCAAAAAAACAAAACAAAACAAAAAACCCCCAAAAGAGAGAAAAACCACTGAGTTCTGGATGCATGTGATGGACAGACCCAGGGCAGGACAGGGCCAGGCCAGGGCCAGGGCAGGGAGATGAATACTGAGAATCAGCACACCACAGCTGCCCCCCTCGTCCTCCGCAGCCCATCCGTGCTCTATCTCTTCCTCACAGAGCATATGGGCCGAGCTCCCTTTCCTGCCAGCCCCATGGCCCATTGTCTGCAGCTGACATTCTGGCACTTGACTGAATTCCACTGAAAACCAAGAACTACAGCGTTGGAAAGGATCCGATGGCGTGGTCACCGAGGATTGCTTCCCACTCAAGCAAGAATGCTCCTCCAGAGTCCTCCCAGCGGGCTCCCGTGCAGCCCTCAGCATTCCCAGGCTGTGACCCCTAGCTCCCCAGCTGCACCCCAGGCTCCTTTTCCCCGTGCCCCCATCCAGAGTCTGGGAGGCCAGCACAGTGCTGACCGATGCAAGGACTCAGTGAGTGGCTCAGTCACTTTATAGCCAGTCCAAAAGTAACACTTGTTCTCAAGAGAACTTCCCCCTGTGTGCTCAGAGCCCCACAGGAGTTTCGAGGGGCAGCCATCTGAAACCCACACAGGTCAATATTTACTCATGAGCTAGAAAAACAACCCGCTTGGAGAGGCAAACCACAGGCTGGGGGCGGGGAATGAAGAGGCAGAGAAGCTGCATAATTCCTACCTGTCCCTGACCGGCATCACTACCACGTCCTCCAACAAGGCTCTGTTATTTGGCCCTCCTTGGGAGTCATACCAGGTCTCTCTGTGTAGTCCAGGCTGGTCTTGAACTCACAACAATCTTCTACCTCAGCCTCTCAAATGCTAGGATCCCAAGCACGCCATTCTATTTGACCTTTTGAATATCCCTTCGTTCCAGCAGCCCAAGCCAACAACTTGGGAATGGGCAAAGATTTAAAAATGAAAATCACTGCTAGAGATTGGTGGAATGCCGGATGTTATTTTTTTCTGTTCTGAGCCCTACAGCTGTTGTTATCTTATTCTCACACAGGGGTGACATTGGGTCACATTCTCCAGAGGGCTGGCTATGTCTCCTGCTGCAATCTGGAGCAGTCTGCGAAGCCAGGTCCATCTGGGGCCAAGCTGGACTAGGCCTAGAGAACACATGTGCACCTGGGAACAGAGCCACACGGGCCTCAGCTCTCCTGGGTCTCCCAGGAGCCGAGGTAAAAGGAGACATGAACTACACACACAGGTCTCTGAGGGCACCGTGGAGATAAGGGTCAAAGGAATGTGGGGCAGCAGAAAACAGAGGGCAAGGGCCACTCTGCCCTGGGTGCTGCAGCTCGGCAGTGCTTGGCAGGTGGTGACATGACAGAAATACTTTCTGAATGAATTAAGTCTGTTTTTAGGTAACACAGAAAGGGCAGTTACTGTGGGCAATACAGAAAGTAAATGCCACAGCTGCCTGCAGAGAGTGTGGCAGTGAGGGGGGTGACAATTGGTGGGCAGCTGAGGCAGGAGGATCGCTGTGAATCTGGGCTCTACAGGGAGTCAGTTCCAGTCCAGCCTGACCTATTTCGAGATCATGGCAAGAAAAACACTTTTTTGCTTGTTTGATTTTTTGAGACAAAGTCTCACTATGAAGATCAGGCTGGCCCTGATCTCACTATGTAGCCCAAGCTGGCCTCAAACTCACAGTGATCCTCCTGCCTCAGCCTCCTGAATGCTGCAATTACAGATGTGTACCATCACACCTGCTACTCCAAGTTAAAAAAAAAAAAAAAAGAGAATGTTGCCACTGGAAGAGCAGGGTGACCCCTTGAAGAATAGTGTGGAGCTGGGGCATCCTGGCACAGATAGGGACACACTCCTACAAGTAAGGACCCAGCAGGGATGAAGGGTGGAAGGGGAGGGTGGGGACAGAAACAGCCCAAAAGTCTGGGAGAGGAGAAGAGCTAGGACGGAGTGATGCCAACAGTAGTCAGGCCTGGTGTGGAGCCACACACCTGTTATCCCAGCTCCTCAGGAGGAGGCTGAGACAGGAGGATCATGATTTTGAGGCCAGCCTGTGCAACATAATGAGATTGGGCTGTAAATAAACAAATAAACAGCCAGACATGATGGTATACACCTGTAATCCCAGCACTCGGGACACTGAGGCAGGAGGATCACTGAGTTTCAGACCAGCCTGAACTACGCAGTGAGATGCTGTCTCAAAAAATAAAAATTAAAAAAGCAAATTAAAATAAAATCTCCCTGCTGAGCCAGACATGATGGTGCATGTCAGTAATCCCAGCACTCTGGGAGGCTGAGATAGGAATATGGCATGTTCGAGCCCAGCCTGGGTTATTTAGTGACGTGAGATCCTGTCTCAAAACAAAAACAGGGCTGGAGAATTAGTTCACCAGGAAGATTTTGGGTTTAACCTCTAGTATTGCAAGAAAGGTCCCTGTTGGTGGTAGAGTACTTGCTTAATTTATATGGCCCTAGATTCAATCCCCAACATCCCAAAACAAAAATAAGAACAAAAAATGTAAAATCTGCTTGTAGCAAGAAGGTGGGAAGAAGCATTAATGAACCCCTGTTGTCCTGGGTACTTGGGAGACCGAAGCAGGAGGATCTGTCTCTTTCTTTTTTTCTTTTCGTTTTTTGAGACAGGATCTCACTCCATAGCTCAGGCTGACTTTGAACTCACTCTGTAGCCTGGGCTGGCCTCAAACTTGTGGCCTCGGCCTTGAGAGTGCTAGGATCACGGGCATTGGATACCATACCCGGAGACAGGAAGATCTCCTGAGCCAAGGAGTTCAAGGTCAACCAGGGCAACGTACGAGTGAAAACCAAAAAAAAAACCCTTTCCTAACTCCTGGTAAGGGGTCTGTCTCCCCTCTATCCTGTTTAAAATCCAATACCTGCCTAGTACCCCAATAAATTATCCAGCCAAGAAGCCTAGTTCCCACTGTGACAGATGGGCTGCGCAGATATCGCAGGTATCGGTGTCCCCTCCCAGCTGGGGAAGCTCTCAGGGCCCTGCCTTGCATCCTTCTGTCCCATTCTTGTCTCTGCCATTCACCAGCTGAGTGACTAAGACGAGGATGTGACTTTTTGACTCTCCACTTCCTCATCTGTAAAGTGGCCACAATAACAACACCTACCTCATAAACTTCACAGTGGCTGAGGATTATGTGATATAAACAAAAGCTTAGCACAATGCCTGGTACATACTAAATGCTCAATAATTTAGAGCTGTCATTATAGATGGAATCCAAATTACCTTAGCTCTTTGTTTTTTTGAGACAAGGTCGCTGTCTGCAGTTCAGGCTGGCCTTGAACTCAGAAATCCTCCTGCCTCAGCCTCCACCATAATGAGATTACAGACATGCACCACCTTACTGTTTTGGGATTTTCTTGAAGGAAGAAGCAGTCAGATCCCCAAACTGCACAATACTTGTCACTAAAACCTCTTAGCTGCACAAAATGCACAGTCAAGCAAGGGCTTCCCTGCTGCACACTTGCAAACTTAACTGTTTCTGATCTACATACGGAACTTCCCACACTCTTTGAGAATCAGCATCTAGCTTAGCCTTATCCAGCAGTGCAGGCTACTGAGGCTTTCCTCTTCAGCAGTAATAGGCATCTTTTAATGGGCCCAATCCTGACCTCAGCACTGAGCTGCAGGCCACTCAGCCACTTTACCATTTCATCCTCACGATGTTATTATCCCGGCCTGACAGGAAACCCTAGCCTGGAGATGTTATAGCATCTACATTAGCACATCAGGAAAACTAGGAGTTGAACCAAGAGTCCAGGGATTACATTATTGTTATTACTTTTTGTGCTAGGATTGGGCTCAGGGCCTTCCCACTGGCTACATACCTAACCCTTTTGGACTTTTTTTCGTTTGAGACAAGCTCTCACTGAATTGTTGCTGCTCAGTCTGGGCTTGAACTTGTAACCCTCCTGCCTCAGCTTCCTGAGTGCTGGGATTATAGGTGGCACCACACACCCAGCTTCCCCAGTTATTTTGATGCTGCCAACTTTACTGGTGTGCATCTAAGGGAAGGCTGTGGCTCCAAGCAAGAACTCTTTGCAGGGAGGACCACCTAGAAGATAAACCACATCATGTAATTGCTCATGTCTGCCCTTCCCATCACTGCCTGTTCCAAACCCTGACGCTGGTCACCAATCTGACACAGAAGCTGTCTAAGACATCTGCATGGATTGAACGAATCACAGAGGAAAAGAAAAGAAGGCCATGGAAAGAGCAGGCAGAGAAAGGAAATGAGAAGGAAAGAGTGGGGGACAGAGAAAAGAGGAAGAACAAAAGAAGACAGAAGATGGAACTCGGAGGCTGCTGAAGGAGGCGGCTGATTGTTGTGCCCATTCCATCCGTTATTTGTTTCAAT